ATATATATATATATATATATATACAGTATATATGTCCTTGAAATGTGAACAGGCGAGCACATCTCATTCAGCTACTAAAGTCCCTCCTACATACATTGAAAAAACTTGGATATTAATTTTTACTGCACAAGACATTGATCTGGATTTTTCTACAATAGATGGTGGAGAATGCGGGCACCAAATATCGATGTATTTATTGACTGGACCAGAACTAATTGTTTAGACAGTACATGGGCACAGACAGTTGGCCATGTTAAGTAAGACCTCCCCTTATTAGGCTCTCCTCTCCTGCCAAGTTCTCTAGGGACCCGGAAATATTACATGACAGGTGACCCGATCCCTCTTGTGCAGTAATAGATTCGTTTGCCTGCTCCTACCTTCCTCTTTGACATGACCCCCACCGCTCTGAATTCCGGGTGTCAGCCCTGCCTACTTCATTTCTGACGGATTACAAAGAACACAGACCTCTTCTCATACCCTCCTCCCTCCACATCTCCATAACCAGTCCTCGTCTCTGCCTCACTCATCTCCTCCCTCTTCTCATGTCCGTAATCCCTCCTCATCTCCTAGCCCCACCTCATCTCCATAATCCCACTGTAAGGCCATAGCCGGGAGCTCCATGGGCGGGTCCCAGTTGCCGGAAAGCATGCGTTAGCACGCATGCGCTCCCAACGGAATGTTGCACACAGGAAGTGACACAGTGGCGCACAGGGAGTGACACAGTGGCAGACAGGAAATGACTCACTGCCCTCTATTGGATGTTCCTATTTAAACCAGCTGGCCCAATGGGTCAGTGCTGAACGGTCTTTCAGGTGGTGCTTGTGTTCCTGCTGATCTGTTGCCTGTTACCTCGACCCGGATTGCTGCTGACCTTGACTGCTTGCTGCCTGCCCCTGACCTCTGCTTGTTATCTGGATTCTGCCTCTGCCTGCTCTTTCTTTACCGTGCTGACCGTCTGGCTTGACCCCTGGCTTGTTTGACATCGCTCTAGTTTCTGCTGCAAACCTCGCTGACATCACAGTTGTGCACCTGCCTTGGTCATCCTTCCAGGGACCCAGTGGCCGGACTTCTGCCAGGCACCGTGTCTGAACACTTTGGCACCCGTGCCTCTCTCTGTCTACTCGCTCCCTGTTCCCACACACAGGGGTGAGAGACAAGAGGCGCAAGGGAGTTCTCCTCAGCTAATCGGTCCTCCACCAGGTACTTGATACCCACCCCATCTCCTACCCCCTCCACATCTCTATAACCTGGTGTGTAGTTCAGTAGTAAGGCAGCAAGCACTACTTGTGCCCGATAACAAGTTGTATGTTAAAATGCATATAAAGACGATGTTGTACCTACCACAAGATTTGTAATTTGCACACTTAACTCTAAGTCTTAGACTGCATAGTCGCAATGGTTATCTTACATTTCTGTTCCGCATTGGTGCTGGGGACCTTTAGATTGGACAAAGCTAAGGTACTTCCTGCCACCTCCCAGCTCCAACGCATTCCTATTGGTCAGTGAGGAAGACTATCCTAGTGTTGGTCCAACAGGAATGTAGTAAGCCTGGTTCCACTATATGCAGATTTTAAGGTTGTAACCCTGACCCACGATATTCCTCATCCCACTAAACGTACATAGGTAGTGAGCCTCATCCAACTAAAGTCTGAGAGTCCATAAGTCATATCAAGTATTAGGCCTGGTCCTGCTGAAGCCCGGTACTTGTCTAGTTAGTGCCTTTTGGTCATTAACCAGAAAGCTATTAGGCTTTACCCTACTAGAACCCGGTGGTAAGTTCTAAAGATTTCCACAACAAGAACAAATAATCTCCCCATAAAGCCTTTTCTTTATTTCTTCCATTTTACTTTCCAACATGGCATAGCCAGGTCTCCGTGACCTCCCTGCATACTACACCTCAGGTACTTACTACAGCCTGGTACAGGACCCACGCTGTTGTTGGAGTGAGGAGTAAGGTAGGTATTACAGTCTGTTCCTTTACTACCTAGACCCAACAAGCATTCAACCCTTACAGTGCAGGGGGTGGGGGTAGGATGGGTCACTCCATGGGTGTTGTTTGTGTAATTCTTCTCCTTCTAGAGCCTGCCAGTGGACCAATTAGTTCTAGAGTCTGCCAATGGACCAAAAAAAGCCTTCTAGAGTCTGCCAGTGGACCATAAAGCCTTGTAGAGCCTGTCAGTGCACCATAAAGCCTTCTAGAACTTGCAGGTGGACCATAAAGCCGTCTAGAGCCTGCCAGTGGACCATAAAGCCTTCTAGAGCCTGCCAGTGGACCATAAAGCCTTCTAGAGCTTGCCAGTTGACCATAAAGCCTTCTAGAGCCTGCCAGTGGACCATAAAGCCTTCTAGAGCCTGCCAATGGACCATAGAGTTCTAGAGCCTGCCAGTGGACCATAAACCCTTCTAGAGCATGCCAGTAGACCTTAAAGCCTTCTAGAGCCTGCCAGTGGACCATACAGCCTTCTGGGGCCTGCCAGTTGACCATAAACCCTTCTAGAGCCTGCCAGTGGACCATACAGCCTTCTGGGGCCTGCCAGTTGACCATAAACCCTTCTAGAGCCTGCCAGTGGACCATACAGCCTTCTGGGGCCTGCCAGTTGACCATAAACCCTTCTAGAGCCTGCCAGTGGACCATAAACCCTTCTAGAGCCTGCCAGCAGACCATAAACCCTTCTAGAGCCTGCCGGTGGACCATAAAGCCTTCCAAAGCTTGCCAGTTTAACATAAAGCCTTGCCCTACTAAGCTTTGACAACATATTATAAAGCCTCACCCTGCTAGAGCCTTTTTCTTTCTCTCTCTAGAGCCTTATAGCAGCAGAGCCTGACATAAACTAAATGAGTCTTTCTGATGAAGTTTGATAGGTAATAAAAGGTTTGTCCTCCGTGTAGACCATGACATAGAACCATAAATCCTTCACCTGGTGGCACATTATAAGGCCTTGACTTGCTAGAGCCTTTCTAATGAGCTATGAAGCCTTGTTTCTCTCCTTGTATGAACAGACCCGGACATAACCCTCACAAGCCTGACACTACTAAAGCCTGGTAGTTAATTATAGCCTTGTTCTTCTGCAGCCTGCCAGTGAGCCATGAAACCTTGTCTCTACTGAGGCCTTTGGGTAATTTAAAGCCTTATGCCATTAAACATAACGCTTTGCCCTACTAGAGCCTGGCCATAAATAATATTTTTATATATTCTCCTCTTGGATCCTGCCAAAAAAACATAAAACCTTGGCCTCTAGTTAATGAAAGCCTTGTCCTGCTGGAGCCTCTTTTGGACTTCTTCCAACGTGGATTCATTTTGTCTTGTTATAGGCCCTATAGAAAGATGTGTAGTAGAGCTTTGATGGCAGCCGCTATCCCCTGGCCTGACACGGCCTCTGAGTAATCTATTAAGTCATGCCCCGCTAGACTGTTTCCTAGCCGGCTATTAGGCATTGTTTTGCCAGAACGCTATTATCTCCTGTGGCGGAAGCGCGATGGATTGTGGGGTTGCAACATCCCAGAGCCATCATTAACCCTGCCAGTGTTGCTATACATAGCACCGTGGTTACTATAAGACTAATCTCTGCCCCAACGCTGGTCAAAGAACTGCAAGTTCTAACAAGCTGAGCTTCCTGATAAAGCCAGGGGCTGCTCACTGTGTTCCTTCTGGGTTGGTGAGTCAAAGGAGTGAAGTCAGAGGATCGGCATGCCAGCCAGATAACTCTCTTTTTCAGGTGGAAAGGTCATTGATGGCAGTCCACATATTTCTATTATGACATGATTCCTTTTATTAACTTGTGTCCTTAGCCTCGGCCTTTATGCTGGTGTCCCATTGGCTGCCCATATCACCTACTTTCCATGGGGGGCATCTACATTCTATGGGGCTCATCTGCTTTCCATGGGTACATCTGCTTTCCATGGGGCACATCTACATTCTATGGGGCTCATCTGCTTTCCATGGGGCACATCTACATTCTATGGGGCTCCTCTGCTTTCCACGGGCACATCTACTTTCCATGGGCACATCTGCTTT